TCAAAATTTTCCAAATAAAGCTGACCACCTCTTGTTCAAAAAGTTTTGATTATTTTCTGGTCTTCAGAAACCTTCATATCTAAGCCAACAGAAAAGAAAGGAGAGAAAAATTATATATTCTATACTAATGGGATTCTGGCCTAAGATATTCAAACAGTAATGTCATAGGACTAAGGGGAATATTCAAGTTCTACCAGGCTTTTTGGACTTCCATGTTCGTGCTCTCGTTGATTTATAAAGAACTCTTTTTTGGTGGTTTTTTTCTAGAGATTATTTGAGGTACACTTGACAGACAATAAACTGTGCAACAACAAACAGCAGTTCTTCAAATAAAGTTGTTTTGTTCAAAGTCATTTTGTTATAATGTTGATGAGAAAAAAAAACATTGGTTTTGTTATGTGCCATTTTGTTTAAAGTCACAGTTTTCAAGAGCCTATCTACGTTGTTAAGTGAGGACTTACCATATACAGTTTGATAAGTTTCGACATGCGTACCCATGCCAAGATCATCACCCCAGTCAAGAGAGTGAGCACATGCATCCCCACCTCGCGTCTTCACGATGCTTTGTGAGCCTTCTCGCCAGCCTGGCTTTCCCCCGTCCTGCTTCCAAACAACTGCTGACCTGATTTCTGTCAATACAGATCAGTTTTAATTTTCTAGAATTTTAGATAAAAAAGAATCACACGGTATGTGCCCTTTTTTGTCTGGTTTCTTTCACTCAACATTATTATTTTGAGATTCATCGATGCCGCTGCATGCATTGATGTTTAACTATACCATACTTTATTTATTCACTTATTGATAGAAATTCCGTTGTTTCTAGGTAACATATAAAGCTTCCAGTTTACAAACAAAGTTGCTATGATCATTTGTGTGCAAGTCTTCTTGTGGACACACGCTTTCATTTTTCTTGGGTAAAACCTAGCAGCGAAATAGCTAAATCATCTGGTAGGTGTTTAACATTTTAAGAAACTGCCAAACTGTTTACCATTTGTTCTTACCAGCAATATGTGATAATTCTAATTCCTTCACTTCCTTTTCAATTTTGGTCACTTTTATAAGTATATAGTAATATCTCATAGTAGCTTTAATTTGCATTTCCCTAATGACTAAGATGTTAAGTACTTTTCATGTACTTATCTGCCATTCATGTATCTTTTATGGCAAATTGTCTATTAAAACCCTTTCCAATTTTTAAAAGTTGGGCTATTCGTTACTGAGTTTTGAGAGCCTTTTGTCTATTTTGGGTTCAAGTCTCTGAATAGAAACATACTTTGAAATTGTATTATCTCTATCTGTGACTTGAATTTTCATTCTCTTAACAGTGTCTTTTGAAGAGCAAATATTTCAAATTTAGATGAAGACCCATTTGACAATTTATTATTTTATGGCTCATGCTTTTAGTGTCATATCTAAGTAATATTTTGCTAGCTCATGGTTATAAAAGTTTCTTCTATGCATTTTTCTAGAAAGTTTATAGTTTTAGGTTTTGCACATAGGTTTGTACTCTGTTTTATGCTAATTATTATATGTGATACAAGGTAGGAATTCATGTTTATTTTTATATGTGTATCCAATTGTTCTAGCACCATTTGGTTAAAGTACTATTCCCTTTCTTTTATACCTTTATGAAAAATGATTTGAGCATATCAATGTAGGTCTATTTCTGAAAGCTTGATTCCTTTCCACTCATCTATGTTTATATCTTTATGTCAATACTACAACCTTCATTTCTTTAGCTTTGCATGTTTTGAAATCAAGTAGTATTAGTCTCTCAATTTTTCTTTTTTGTGTATAAATTTGGGTATTCTAGATCATTTTTATTTCCTTATTGCACTTGTACTCTCTCATGTTCCTGAATTTAGGAGGAAAACATTCAGCCTTCAGTGATTAAATATGATCTTGTTTGTGGTATTTATGGATTACCTTTTTCATGTTCAGAAGTTCCCTTCTGTTCCGAGCTTGGTGGGATTTTTCATCAGAATTGGATTGTTAGATGCCTCTCCACCTATTCTGTGAATCTGGGACAAACTCCATTTGGTCATAAAAATTATCCTTTTGGTGCATTACTCAATTGGATAAAATTTGGTTTAGAATTTTTGCATCTATGTTCCAGGTAGAAAAGAAGTGAGCTTAAATTATTTTTAGTTGAATAAATTATCTTATGTGGACTGTGTGAGAAAAAACAAAAACTTTTTTCCCCAGCTATGTGCCTTCTAGTTGAGTTCTATCCTGATGCTATCCACCTGGAGATAGTCTCGGACCCCGGGTCCCACAGTTTGAAGGCTCAGTCGCGGAGGCTCCCTGCCTGCAGACACCAGTCACAAGTCCAGACTGCCCTAATTTATGACTGGCTGGCTTCAAGTTGGGGTTCCCATGACTCCCTCTTGGGTTCAGTTAATTTGCTAGAGTGGCTCTCAGAACTCAGGGGCACACTGGAGTTACTCTGAAGGACATTACAAAGGACACAGATGAGGAGGTGGGCAGGGTGAAGGATGGGGAAGGGGCGCAGAGCTTCCACGCCCTCCCCAGGTGCCACCCAGCAGGATTTGCCACATGGTCAGCTGTCTGGCAGCTCCCAGAACCCCGTCCTTGTGGGCCGTGTATGGAGACTTCGTTGAATAGGGATGATCCACGACTGAGTAGAAATGGGATTGGACAAAGAAGTGTGATTTAATGTTAATAGACTGAGTGGGAAACCCAGCAACACCTGTCTCTTCTGATTTATCTTTTTTGTATGTGTTATTATTATCATATTTCTTTTTTTTATTTTTGCATATTATGGGGCTACAAGTGTTAAGGTTAAATATATTGTCCATGCCCCTCCTTCCCCCTCGAGTCAGAGCCTCAAGCGTGACCATCCCCCAAACGTTGCACATCTCACTCATTGTGTTTGTATATACCCATCCCCTCCTGCCCCCTCCAACCCGCCCAACCCCCAATAAATGTTATTCCTATATGTCCACTGAGGTGTTGATCCGTTAATACCAATTTGCTTGTGAATACATGTGGTGCTTGTTTTTCCATTCTTGAGATACTTCACTTAATAGAATGGGTTCCAGCTCTATCCTGGAAAATACAAGAGGTGCTATATCACCATTGTTTCTTAAAGCTGAATAATACTCCACTGTATACATATACCACATTTTATTAATTTACTCATGAATTGATGGGCACTTGGGTTGTTTCCACAACTCTGCAATTGTGAATTGTGCTGCTATAAACATTCGAGTGCAGGTGTCTTTTTCATAAAGTGACTTTTGATCTTTTGGGTAGATGCCCAGTAGTGGAATTGCTAGATCAAATGGTAGATCTACTTGTATCACTTTAAGGTATCTCCATATTGCTTTCCACAGAAGTTGAACTAGTTTGCAGTCCCACCAGCAGTGTAAGAGTGTTCCAATCTTTCTGTATCCACACCAACATTTTTTGTTTGGGGATTTTTTGATAAAGGCCATTCTCACTGCAGTTAAGTGATATCTCATTGTGGTTTGGGTTTGCATTTCCCTGATGATTAGAGATGTTGAGCATTTTTTTCATATGTTTGTTGGCCATTATTCTGTTTTCTTTTGAGAAGTTTCTGTTCATGTCCTTTAACTCACTCTGGGTAACAGACTTGAACCTTAGGTGCAAAACTATTAGAATTCTAGAGGAAAACATTCGAAATACTCTTCTAGACATTGGTCTAGGCAAAGAATTTATGAAGAAGACCCCAAAGTCAATAAAGCAGCAAGAAAAATAAATAAATGGGACCTGATCAAATTAAAAAGCTTCTGCACAGCCAAAGAAACTGTCAAGAGAGCAAACAGACAACCCACAGAATGGGAGAAAATTTTCTCAAGCCACACATCTGATAAAGGGCTGATAACTAGAATCTATTTAGAACTCAGGAAAATCAGCAAGAAAAAAATCAAACAACTCTTCTGATTTATCTTGGCCTCTCTGGGCAGCAATTCTTCTTCCCTGGTATGAGGCAGAACTCCTGAAATGAGAGTCTTGTGATCTGCAATAAGACAAGGTAGGTCAGAGAATTTCTTTGTGGCCAACTCCAAGCTAGAAAGGCTGGAGAAGATTCCTGCCTTGGGGACAAAAAAAATAGCAGGTAAAAGGAGGGCAGGAGAATGTCAGAGAGAGATTCTGTTTTCTGAGGCTGCTCCTGAGGCCTACAGTGTCCAGTGCCATTACAAGGGCAGTGGCCATTCTGAGCCAGGAATGGTGGCAAGGGGTGGCCAGGAACAGTCCGACTGGTGGTGGCAAGTTTGAGGTAAAGGACTCTAACTTTACCAGTGGCTGAAGGATGAGTGACAAAGAAGAAAGAATTGAAAAGCCCATTGGACTCCTCTCTTAGTGATTTTTATGAAACTATGGGCAATAGTGGGGAGACATGTTTAGGGAGGGAAATAGTATATCAAGAGCCTACAGACCGGGTCCTGGGCTGTGACTGGTTTAATTGTTGATTCTGTGTTGCCCCTGACAGCGCAATAAACCAGGGGCCCCTGATTAATGATGGGTGAGGTTGGCTTGTCCCATAAAGGTGACTACAGAACATTCACTGGAGTGGAGTACGTGTAGGTATTTACAGAAAAGGCTTCAGAGAAATCCCATTTGAATTGAATCTAGAAGTCAAAATTCCAGTAGAAATGAAGGAAATGAATCAACAAAAGATAAATGCAAATATAAAAATTTTCAAGACTTTTAAAAGAAATATATTTAGGATCAGGATAGGATGCACGTAAAACAAAAATAAATCTATGAAACTAACAAAGACATACATTAAACAAAAACAGTTGGAGGGTATAAAGAATCAGAGGCTTATTATATTTAGAGCAATGTTTTCCAGGTTGATACATGTTGTTGCAAATGACATAATTTCCTTCTCTTCTCAGACCAAATGGTATTCTATTGTGTATATACACCACATTTTCTTTATCTGTTCATCTATTGAGAGACACAAGTTGATTCCAACTTTTGGCTATTGTGAATAATACAGCAATGAACATGGGAGTTCAGATATCTCTTCAATACACTGATTTTTATTCCTTTGGATTTGTACCCAGATGTGGAGATGCTGGATAACAAGGTAATTCTATTTTCAATTTTTGAGGGGAACATCCATACTGTTTTCCATAATGGCCATACTACTTTGCATTTCCATCAACAGTATAAAAGAATTTCTTTTCTCTACACCCTCACCAACACTTCTTGTCTTTTATATGAAATCTAAAAATGTCAAACTTATAGCAGTAGAGAGTAGGGTGGTGGCTGGGGGTTGGGGGATGGGAGGTGGGAAGAATGGGAAATGTTGGTCAAAGGGTACAAATATTCAGTTAGACAAAAAGAATATGTTTTCTGAGATATTGTACAGCATGTTGACTATAGTTAATAATAGTATATCATATGCTTCAAAATTGCTAAGAGAGCAGACTTTAAATGTTTGAACCACAAAAAATGATTATGTGAGATGATGGACATGTTAATTAGCTTCATTTAATAATTCCATAATGTATATATATATATCTCAAACATTTTATTGAACCCCATAAATATATATAATTATTATTTGTCAATTAAAAATAAAATTATAAAAAGAAAGAGGGAAAACTAAAATTTAAAAAAATCAATTGTAGTCTTGCAAATAAAAAAAAGCAATGTTCCCATTAAAATATAAAAATCCTGTATCTGGATATGATCAAAGAGAATCTCTCTACCCTTTGTTTTCAGCATTTCCAACATATTTCTAAGTATAAATTTCTTTTATACTCCAACGGTTTAGTGGAACTCTTGAATTTATGATTCTTTCATAAGTTTCCGAATATTTGCTGTCATGTCATTGTCACTTCAGAAAAAGAAAATCACCTCTGCCCCAGTGTCCTCTTCTGGGATTCTAATTACTAATAGATATAGGTTAGACTGGTCCATGGTATTCCTTCCTGTGAGAGTTTTTGGCCCTCTTTTTTTTACTATTTGGTAAATTTTTGTCTTTCTATGTGCTTTTGATTCACATTCAGTTTTACTACTTTTCTCATCAGTATTTATTGGCTTTTATGTGTGTTCTTAATTTCATCCTTAGTATTTTCAGTTCCAGAATTTCTGCTTGGTTCTTGTCCAAATCTGCAATGTCACTTTGTTCTGGTTTCTAGTTCCCATATTAAAAGTTTGGCTTATATTCTTTGGTACATAGTAAGTTGACTTGTTTCATAATCAGAATATTTCCATTTTAATATCTAAAGCTTTGCAGTCAGTTTCTGATCTCTGTCCTCCTTGCCTCACCTATCCATGGCTTCTCACGCACATCTTTCTTGCCTTCTTGTTTGACAATTTGCCTTTTACTCTTTTCTAGATATTGGTCATACCAATGTTTATAGGAATCATTGGTGCCCGGGCTCTTGTTTTTGTCCTCCTGTAAAGATTTTTTATTTATTTTTTCTGCTAGGAGTCTGGGGAAAGCTTATTTTGATTGCAAACTGGGTTTTGATATAACTTTAGTTCCAGTGCCCTGGGCTGGATCTCTGTGGCTGCTGTAACAGATACTCATTTTCTTGATGTAGTTCGTTCAGCTCAAGCAAATGCTCTTCAAAGTGTGGGCCAAGTTGTCATCTCGTGTCTGCCAATATTTCAGGCCAGGAGCATGCTGCTCTGCTCGACTCTCTGCCTCTTCAGCACAGCATGCCAGATGCTGCGAGAACATGCTCATGGAACACTCATGTTGGATGCACAGCGATTGCAAGGGATTTTCGACCATATAGTGAGAAATATGGAATGGGTCACATTGACTAAAATAATTAAGAATCTTGTGGGTGATCAGGCATCTGGTCTGTTGGACTTAGGAAATAGTTGTGCACCCAAGGGAGATGAGGTGTAGAGTCAAGAGGTAGAAGGCAATGCATGAGCAAGACCCAGTCTTCCTGTGAGGGCTTCTGTGTGACCGTGTTCTCATCAGTTAAAGTTTGGGGAAGATCTTTTGGTATAATATTATCACCTTAATCAAAGTGTGTTCTAGGATTTCAACATTTTTTCATCCTGTTTGGGTAGACTTTTACAATGAAGATTATTCTCTAGAAATCCAGTGTAGTGTGTGTGTGTGTGTGTGTGTGTGTGTGTGTGTGTGTGTGTGTGCATGTGTGTAAATAAAGGGCTTTCTCGAAATCATTTAAGTTGGCTTCTGTAGTTGCAAGGATGTGCATAGTAAAAATCCAGACTCACACTGGCTTGAGCGATGCTGAGTATTATTTCAGTAACACTTGACTGGGACTTGGGAGTCCAGGTCTGCCTGCGGTGCTGCTGCCTCTTCTCATGTTGGTTCCATCTTCTGCTGGAGAAAGACGACCTCAGCATTTCCAGTGGCTTGTTCGAGACACAGCAATGCTCTGAGGAAGGACGGTGTGGCAGACACTGCTGTTGGCCCAAACGTATTTTGTTCTCTCTCCTTCCTTCTCGATATCATGCTGCTATCATTTTCAGTACTTATGTGTCCGCTACTAAAATATGCAACTTATGACACTCCCTTGCCACTGCCATGTATCTGGACTGTGGCCCTTGCCAAAGTTGATTAAGCTGGTGGTTTCAGGAAAGTCTTTTGCCTTCCTGACATAGGTACTGCCACTGCTGTTTAATTTATTTACTTTCTCCTGGCTGAAGGAAGGAGCCAGAAAGCTGGAGGTAGAACATTCACCTGCAACCATGAGCACAAAAGTTATACACTGAGGAGTTCAGAGTGGAAAGATAGAGGAACCTGCAACAGCAGGGTGCAGAGAGAAGGAATGGGATCTATTGTGGTGCCCTGGAGTCAGTGTTAGATTGCACCTCTGTACACATGGTTATTGAGGAAAAATCAACTCCATTTGTGTCAGTCATTGTCACACAGGTTTCCAGTAGATGCAGGGAAGTGTGTTCCAGACAGATATGGAAATTGCTGGCTCTTCTTTGAGGAGTCAGAATGTAGCTCCCAGAATCTGCCTTCAGTGGACATCTGGTTGGTACACTTAACATGTCTTTTTTTTAATTTTTTTTTCTCAATCAACCAACAGGACCAGGAAGCCCATGATTGACTTGGGCTTTAAAAATTTACATCTGCAGCAAGGAAGAAGAGGGAGAAGGATCAAGTTGTGTCTGTTCCACCCTTGAAATGCATTCCACTAAGGTGAACTTGGAGAGAACTTCGCATTTAGGGCTAAGAATTTTGTGTGACTGGTATTAGAGTAAGAAGTTTTTACACACAGCACACGTTGGTTAGTAACCCAAGAAGAAAAGAAGGCTGATCACAAAGAGAGACAATTCTCTTAGCTGCACCTGTCCAGATAATGAAATGCACTACATTCCTTTTGTATGTTGTAATTTAGACTCACGAGGGCAAATTGAGTGGTAGAGGAATGACTGTAAATTGATATTTTAATCTAGACAGATACTTCCATGCCTATACAGCCAACCAGATCAGACTCAGACAGACTTATTATTCTAAAACTGAAATATAGGGTGAAAGAAAATCTGGGAGACTAAACAATTTTTAGGAAAATAACATGAATTAGGTATATTTACTTCTGGCTGTGTGTGTGTTGGGGGTGTGTGTGTGTGTGAAATTAAATCAAACAAAATGGATTTATGAGGAAAATAAAAGAGATCCTCCCCCCAAAAAAGAAATTGAGGTCCATGTTAATAAATAACAATAACTACAAATAATATAGATATAAATATCTCCTTGAATATTTGAAAGCAGTGACATTATGATTGTCATAATTCTTAGACCAGACCATATGTTTAATATCTGAAAAAATTTATTTCAATATGTCTGAATTTCCCTTAATATATATATATATATATATATATGTCCCCAGTTAAAGCAATTGATACTGAAACCATGCACTGAGACATATACAGACATATGTATTTCGTGATTCTTGCTTTCTTTTGTAGTTATCTTGCCTATAACAGTATTTGTGGTCTTACATTTATAAACATAAATGCTTCCTTGGTCTCCACCTTCTTTCTCTCTCTTTATCTATTATCTATCCACATACATATTTATGATATATGATGTGCTGTTGCTATTTCTGTGATTATTTTTGCAATTCTGGCCCACTAAAACATATACAAGACAATGGAAGTGGCAGTGATTTAGAGCAAGATAACTTATCTCTGTAGTAAGTGTTCTTTCCCTCACATGAGATGAGCTGCCAGCACAGTAGGACTGTTCTTTGGGGAACTCAGTGTGAGACCCGATATAACTGCAGTGGAGGGCCGTGATGTCAACTTGGCAGTAGGGTTAGTAGGTGCTGGGCACTATGTGAAGTGCTGAAATATAGTTTCTTTATCAATATTTACAGCAACCTTATATACCGGTTACTATTGGCATGCTGATTTCCAGACAAGGAAGGTGAGGACAAATAGGTAATTTAACATGCCCAAGGTCACAGAGCTGACGACAGTGAGGCTGGACTGGAGCGCAGGTGGTCCAGTGACACCCAGCAGCCCCTCCCTGCTCTGTGACCATGGACATCCTCTCCAGCGAGTCAGTGCAGAGCTGCTGCTAAACCCACGCGCAGCGCTGCTGTGACGACGGGCACTGCACAGGCCACCGTGCCATAGGCCTATTGCGTGACGCTGGCCCTTTTTGGTGCATGCTTTTGGTCTTAGTCTTGGCTCGTTACTTTGTTCTCATCAAGTACTTCCTGGAAACTGTCAGAGCACTGCATATAGTGTCTATGACAAGCGATTATTATCTAAATTGTAAAAGGTGAGGAAATCGACGTTCAAAGAGTCTCGTAACTTGACCAGTATCCAAATGCCAGTGAGGAGGGACCAGTGTTCAATCCCTCCCTTCTAAAATGTCTGTGCATTTATATGCAAAACATACTTAATCATATGCAAAACATCTTTTGATTTTTTTTAGGAAGTTGTTGGATGGTGGGCTTTTCTAGCAAACACATCCAATATATTCTTTTTTTTTTTTTGATCAAATTCTAAATTTCCTGAGAATTTAGACTTTCCCATAGAGCTGTTCTAGAATGTAAGTGCAATTGAAACAACAACAACTAAAGGGGGAAAAAAACCACATGCTAAAATCCTATCCAATATTTCCCTTAGTACCTTTAGTCATAAGCTAAAAAACACTTTGAAGTCTGTGGGACTCCAGCAATTATGTTTGTTTGGCAACTCATTTCAGGGAGTTAATGATTTCTTTGGCTTTTTCTGAGACTTTTAACAGCAATTACTTTGAAATCCCCCATAAAGGTCCTGAGAAGCCTTGGGACATTGTCATTTGAGATGATAACAAAGTCATTTTAGAAGAAAAACTGAGTTGTGTTGTGAAAGGTTCTGAAGATGGAGCCCAGATGCTAAATCAGGTCCTGAACTCCAATCTGGGCTGCAAATGTGGAGGCAACAGCCACCCCCCAAATGTCATGCTTCCCAGCACAAGTGAGGGCCAAGAATTTAAAAGATAAAGGGAATTGAGAGGAACATGAGTGAGGCAGCCAACCTCTCCACAAGACAGGAGCCTGGAACTTGGCTGCAGAGAAGAGAGGTAGCAAGATTTTTCATTATGTAGTTTCTTGGGGGCAAAATTCTATTTCAGTGTTATTTTATTTTTGATCAAAAAGTAGCCTTCATGTTTGTATTGTTATAAATGTTAAATATATTCAACAGCAAAACAACAATACAATCCAAAGATTATTTTCAGTGATTTTTATCTCTTATTTATGGAACGTTGCAATTGCATGACTACTAAAGAATAATGTGATTTACAAAAAATAATGAGTACTCATGCTGAGATCTGAGATGTTGGCTATTGAAGATGATTTTCTAATGGTTAGAGGGACCATATATGGTTGATTCTGAGTAAGCTGTACAGCGTCCATCGCTATAGTAGATATACCATGGACTTTAACAGCAAAGCAGTTGGATTCAGTTCTGATTTAGCCACTTAACCCATGTGACTTTGGCCAAAGCATTCAGTCTTTGGAAGCCTCATTCTACTTCTAAGAAAAATAACAATGATGACCACCATGAAGTCTAAATGTCATCTGTGCACAGCAGAGTGGCCTGGACAGCACAGTGGCAAATTACCATCTATGTCTAAAGTTGAGCAGGGCAAGAGACTAATGAATGCTAAAGTTTGAATGCCTATGCATTTATAAAGGCCACACCAGGTGAACAACTAATTTTGATAAGTGGGATGAAAATAGGATGTACTGTATCCAGTTTTTTACTCCATTGTTTTCTAGTGGAACTGCGCTTGCAGGCTGCTGCTCACTCAAAGCATGGGGTTGACCCCCTGGTTGACTTTCTGTGATATGTTTCCAGTCATTGCATGATGGGTTAAGGTGTGTTGTCATTGACTGATCAGACAGGATTAAAACCCGTTCTGGTAACAATGGCTATAAGACAATCTGTCTTTTCCTAGGTATGAGGGACTTTTTATTTTCACTGTCATTATGTGTATCTCATGAGACTTTATATTTTAAAATCACATTTGACTTCTGCTTTTAGGAAGATGGAGTGAGCATTCTTTTCTCTACTCTTCTGCTGACTATAACTGTCAAAGGTAAAACAAACGAATGAAGAATCTGAAAGGTGAAAAGGAGAAGGTGGATGGGCCAAGAGACCTCAGGAGCCTAGAAATGAAGGGAGGTGAATCTGAGCAATGGAGACACTAGAAAAAATAAAAATAAACACACCTCAGGGATCTGTGGGACTAAAACAAAAGATACATTGTTCCTGTCACCGAAGTCCCAGAAAGGGAAGAGAAAGAAGATAGGGCTTTTAAAGTACTGGAAGAAATAAGGGCTGAAATCTCCCTACAGTTGGCTAAAGCCATAAGCCTATAGATTTGAGAAGTGGTCCAAACACTAAGAAGAATAAATCTAACTAAGACAGCAACAAAACACAACACAGTTAAATTCCTAAAAACTAAAGCCAAATAAAAATACTGACTGCTACAAAAGGGAAACAACACTTTACCTGTGGGGTAAGCAAGTCATAGACAACAGACTTCCTATGAGAAACCAGGGAGGGAAGATGAAGTGGTGCAGAGAGCTTCCCTCATGCTGAAAGAAAAACCTGACAACAGCATCCTGCCTGCAGGGAAAGCCGCCCACCCCCGGCCCCCCAGGAATGGAGGAGAAGGCAAAACATCCTTAGGTATAAAAGTAAATAAATAGCAATAAAATGGTTTGTCAGCAGATCTACCATAAAGGAAGGCCAAAGGAAACTCTCTAAACAAAAAAAGACATACTAAAACAAGGAATATAGGGACATTAGGAAAGAAGAAAGACCATAGAACAGCAAAAAAATGAGTAAATACAATAGACAATTATGTTATAAATACACAATGAGGAACAAAGGAGGACAAAGAATAAAAGGAAATAAGATTTCTACATTCCCTTTTACTGGCAAAATGATTACATGAGCAGACTATGATGATGAATTTAATGTGTATATAATGTAATACTTGAAATAATGACTGAAATAGTTATACCACGAGATACACTCCAAAACCCTAGAGATAAATCAAAATGAACTTCTAAAAATACTTCAGGAAAGCAGAAAAAAGAAATAAACAACATGAAAACAGAACAAAGAGAAAGCAAAACATAAAATGGTAGACTTGGCTCCTAATAGCAACTATTGCATTCACTGCAAGTTGTCTAAATATATAAGCACAAGACAGAGATGGGCAGATTAAAGAACATGGGAAGACTATATGCTATGTATGAGAAACTCACTTCCAGTATAATAATGTGGGTACGTTAAAAGAAAAAAGATTGAGAAAACATATCACTCAAACAAAAGCAGAGCTGTCTATATTAATATCAGATAAAGTGGACTTCAGAGAAAAGAAAATTGACAGAGATAGAAATATTATGGGTCAATTTCCTAGGAAAACAAGTCAATGTGTCAAGAAGACATGGTGATTTCAAACGTATATACATCAAATGACAGACCTGCAAAATAAGTGAAGCAAAACTTTTAGAACAGAAAGGAGTAATGGGCACATCCACAATGATAGTTGGAGGTTTCAACACCACCATGCCAATAATTTTTGGAGTGACAGAAAATCAGCAAGGATGTGGAGGAGCTCAACAGCACCATCACCCTATGGACTGCTAAGTGGCAGTTACTTCTAGAACACTTCATTCGACAGCA